ATGCCAACCCAAACAAACTCAGCTTCCAGTTTCCAGCAGATAGCTGTCTCCAAACTGATCACTACTGTGGTGTCTGTGGGGGGAGATAAGCAATTCCACAGCACAGGTAATCTTTTCTGATGCAATTTTCTTGACCCGATCAGAAAAGTATCACTCTGAGCACCAAGTCCTGTGCTCCTGACATCGGTGTGAGCCATGCCCTCAACAAGAGGTGTCTTTGGGCCTCAAGCACCTGTTGGACTCACAGTTAAGTACATTCCCATGAAGTCACGTGGTTTTAATCATATGCTGAAGAGTTTTGCAAAGTTGATCCAAAGTTCAGTCATGTAGCAGGTGTTTGGAGGTAACTGCAAAGACTTACAATAGAAAGAAAAAAAAAAATCAGTTGCTCTCCACGTAACACCCTTATGTCATTTATCTCCCTAATTAATTTACAAATCTATCTGACAGATGTGATTTTAATTTTCAGCTGTTTCACTAGTGATCTCTTTAGCTGTTTTCTTTCTTTTAAAGTTAGCCTGAGTAAATATTTGACTTTGTCCCCTAAGTCACTGCATACCGTTGTGTAACCTAATAAAACCTTTTATTTCATTAGCACCAGTTTATCTAATGTTCCAGACTAATTGAGAGTGGATTTCCAAGAAGAAAAAGGAAGAACATGTTCACAACCACAGATACCTCCTCACCTGTTTGTGAAAGACAACACAGGCTCTGCAGGACAGAAAAAATACGGGTCAAAAATACCACATCTCACCTTTCTGCAATTTTCTCAGTCCATATCAATTTCCCAAAGTAAAAGCCACAACTTGTCTGGTAATTTTCCTGTCCTTTCTTTTCAGCTGAGAAGGAGATGGACAGCCCTATCCCAAGTTGTGAGTTGCACAAAGAACAGGAGTAATGGGAGCAGCAGAGGAGCTGTCCTTTGTGTACCAGGGGCAAGTCTCTCCTGCTGAAGTAGGCAGGTGTCCTCAGAGCAAGGTGGGGAAGGGCTGGAGAGGGCAGATTTGCTCCACAATCTCTCCAGCGGGGCCCTGGGAGTTGGATGTGTGACCAAGTCTTCTCAGCTCTGTGTCCAGGAGATTTGAGGTTCTTTGAAACCACTGGATGCAGTAATTCACAATTAGAAATGTTGCACTTGGACAGTTTCTACAACAGAGGGTACAAGGAGAATCAAGAAACTTGCCTGATCACGCAAAACTGCTACAGACAACCAGGAAAAGACCATATTTCCCCATAACTTGGTCCTTCTGAGGAGCATTTTCTGAGACATTTCTAAGGGAGAAGACCTTTAAGAGCTTAGCCAGTCTTTTAGGTCATCCTCTGAAAATCATTCATAAATTCCTATTAAAAGTTCATGAGGCTGCCAGGCTACAAACAAGGACACCAGAACACTAAGGAAAAATGAAAAAAATATTATAATAAATGTCCTCTTCTGACTCTTACCCACTTCTGACTTTCTGATCTTCCAATGTCAACTGCAGATCCAAAGAATGGTCTCATGCCCTGCCTCTACAGCCTGGCTCCTGGCACCACCAGGACCCCTCTCAGAGCCAAGACTCTGTAACAGAGTTTCAGCCCCATGCTCTGTCCCTGCAAAACTTGCCCTCACCCAGCGAAAGGTGTGTGGCTGTCCAGGGACTAGCACAGGATGCACCTACTAGACAGCTCAATTTTCTTCCCTTTTCACTTTCTCGGTGACTCCTGGAATGTGTTTGCACATGGTGGAAAAAAATGCAGAGAGAAGGGAGAAGCAGCCAGGAACATCACCCTCCCTGCCGGCACTCAGCTCTGGGGTTGGCAGCTTGTGCCAGCATTGGTGGCCAAAAAAGCTGGAGGAGACCTTGATGCCTGGAGCAGGTGAAGCAGAGAGATTAGATAATTTTTTGGGGGTAATCCTTTATTTTTTTAAATTAAAAAAGAAAAATGTATAAACTTCACAAACTCAGTTAACACAGGCTTGCAGTGAGAGGCAAAATCTATTTTGATCAGAAAACTGGCTTGCAATGAGTACAAAATATTTCACAAACTTTCAAACCCATCTTTTCCTCCCCTTTTTCATTAATGGGCATCTTTTATCCTGTCCTAAGCAACAGCAACAAGACTAATTAGTTTAACAAGTACAACAAATGGTTTTATTGACAAAAAGAACCCTTTGAAATATACATTACATCCACAGAGGATTAAATTACACCCTATTATCCATTTTCCATAAAATAAAGATTACTTTGATAAATCACAACTAATGTTATCTTTGTCTGATAAGAACTCAGTACTTATTTGTGTGGCTTCTATAAATAGTGTGTTCTGATTTTTTTCCTCCCTAAAATAGTCAATGATACAGTCTGTCAGGCATTTTCCTGCAATTTGACAATGCCACATCTGTGAACCAGGCAGCAAGTGAAAGCTTCATTGTCTGAATATGAAACATGCAACAGTCTCTTTCTTTTCAGTCAGCCCCTCTGCAGTAATCTATCAAACACCTTTCAGCCATATCTTGCTCCATCAAGGTCTCCTTACTGCTAAAGTAAGGTAGTCAAAACAAACTCCTGCTAAGAGCAAAGCCTTTGTGGTTCATCTTTCTATTGTATACAAAGTCAGTGTGGCAACTGTGGCATGAGGGGGCTGTACCCTCATTTAGGGCTTAATGTACAAGATATGTACAGAAAAGTACAAAAGTGTACATTTTCAGGTGTAAAGCGCTCCTTTGTGCTTTGCCTTTCCTTAGCTTTGCACCAGAGGACTTTGCTGGAGATCTACCAGCACCACCTCTGGGTGGATAAACAGTTGGTCAAGGACCAAGCCAGAAGCAATGTCTTGTGTTTACATCAGACCTGCATTAGCTCTGCACAAAGTGGCTCTTTACTAAAGGATAGAGAAAAGATATTGGAAAAAAGATCTTTGTGTGCAAAGAGGTTCACCCACCTTTTGAGCATCTGGTAACAACCTACACCAGGCATGGACATTCCCACTGGATCACAGCTCACAGCCAACAGCTTAGCACAGCACAGCAGCACACTTTTAAAAAACACCCAAGGACTTTGGTTCTGAAAAACTGAAGCTGATTTCCTACTATGTAATGGACCACCAGAGAGATTTGCCTTGCCACATGAATAGCATTGCCTCTCCTACCCCTTAGGACAAATATCCATGTTCAAATTGTATTAATTTTTCATTTTTTGAAATTCTTTCAAGAAACACATTTGCACTGAGTTCAACTACTGCTTTGTATGCACTGGCTGACTCAAAGCATCTCATTTTACTCTAAATATTCAAGGGTTAAAATATTTACAGCAGTTGCTAGATTGGCTTGAAAGAAGGTTTGCAAAGTTCTTAAGACTGGTAGTTCTGGAAATCTTTAACAAGTAAATTCAATATGTGAGTTGAGTTATACTATTTTTGAAAATTCTCTTAACTTCTCAAACAACATCAATTTAACATCCATTTGCAGCATATAACCCTACCCAGGCCGTTTTGGATAGGTGTTCTCATCATAAGCAAATGTCTCTTTTCCCACATTATCCCTCAGAAGCAGGTGGCAGTGGATTTCAAATAAACCCACACCCATGTCTGTGATCCTTTCTGGAGGGTGTGTTTTGCTCATGGAAATATGTCTAACCTCTTTATTTAATTTTCAAAATTTTTATAAGCGTCTCACCCCCTGGGTTGCCCACAAAGTGACTCAGCAAGCCAAGGGATCAAAGAACAGATACAGTTTTTTAAACGAATGGAAAAGTTTAGCAGTTCTAAAAGTGTTTTCCTTCAACACATATTTCAAAACATTAATAAAAATAATTACAGCTGAGTCTAACAGACAAAATGCAGGGCTAGAGTCATAAATCTTAGAAAACAGAGAGGAGCACTCTGAAATGCTGCAAAACAAATAGATTATCACCTTTCCAAACCTCTGCAAGCTTCTCTTTTCCTGTAATAGAAAACAAAAAATCACCATGGCTGCTGCTCACTTGCTGTAACCACAACTTTTATATTGTATTTCCTCAGTGGTGCGTGCATACTTATAAAGCAGGAAGGAGGAAATTGTACATGTAGGGGTGAACACACAGGAACTGCCACCAGCGCAGACAAACCACCTTGGGTTCAACCCAACTCAACTCCGTATCTTGCTGCTCACTGGATACTCTGTGGGTGATAAAGTCCTGGGAACCCAATTCTGTTTTAGGGACTCACGTATTGGAATCAAAGGTAAGGTCCTGACGTAACAAATGGAGGAAGATCCAGATCTTGGGGGACTCAGAGACCCCTTATGTACATGCCACAGGGCCAAACTCCACCTTGCTTATTCCATCTCCTGCCTCCCATATTTTGCACTGATTAACGCACAGCTGCTGAATTCAAGAGAAGAAACAGACCTGCCCCATCTCATACTACACTACAGTCAGAGGGCTGGGTGCTCGCCAGGAAGATGGGATATGTTGATTCCAAACTCCTCTGGCCCAGAACCCAGCTCTCCCACTTCCCGGGAAAGTGCTCTTTGTACCAGACAACACATCTGTTCTCAGGAGGAGGCTGCCAGGGTGTCACACGCAGGGAGTGCTGCCTGCTATGGGCAGTGTGCAAACCCCTCTCTTTTCCCACCTTCCCCAGTCATGGCCCAGCACAGAGCAGGGAGTCGCTCTCTCCAGGAAAAGCCACATCCCTTCAGGAAAAGTGACAAGAACCAACAACAGAAGGGCTGACTGACTCAGCCCAGCCATGAGAGCACCTCGTCAGCCATGGGATGCTCAAGTCAGAGCTGCAGTAACTGGTCTGAAAATGGGCCAGGTACTGACATCCAAAGTGACTTCATTTACTGCAATGCTTATGGATCCTCTAGCTAATCAGGGGACTGAAGCTTCAAGGTTCCTAGCATGGAAATCTTGGGAATTTGTAAAATAAAAGGGTCAGAAATGCCAAGATGGGAAAGACAGATCATAATCTAACCACATTTTTTTTTTTATTCATAGGAAGACAAGGCAGAGAAAGTAACAACATGGAAGACAGAGTCAGTAAGTCAAATATTTTTATTGAAGTCCTTTCTTATTTGTGACCATTGGTCATTAATTTTAATTGCACAGACCAAAATTAGCAATTGACTTGAATTTTCCTAAATAACATCTTTTATAGCTTTTGCATTTTTACCAAGAGAAGACAAAATCATGAGTAGGTCTCTAAATGGAATCAAACATAGGAAGCAACTTCTTATTAATCCTCATGCAAGCTACAGATTATTGGAAACTGAGGTTGAGCAGTATCAGGAAAAAGTTCACTCATGAGTATGCTCACCCCAAGCTAATTTATAGTCCTTTCACAACTGATGTAATTTTCATATATTAGACAATAATTACAGGCATATTAAGCGATATTAACATTATTAAACAACAATGAACAGCCACCTGAATGTATACTATGACAATGCAAAATCTAGTAATATAAAGAGCCTTAGCTGGGTAATTTTCCATTAGAGCTTTTCTAAGCTTCTAGATTTTTTTTTGTCTTACAGGTATAGATTTTAAACAGAATAAATCTAACATTCATATTTACAGAAAGATTTATGCCTGGCCCAAGAACTCCAGGGTCACTTACACTTTCTATACCAACAAATTACTCCCATTTGGAAAAGGAGCTATTGCTTTATTGTGGCATTACCACAGAAGCTGTTTTCTGAGTGCACTGAATGCATTTTGTGCAATGAGTCTTCCAAGAGGCTAAAATGTATTGCTGCTGCTCTTTATGTCTTGCTCTTTTGCAAGCATACACTAAGCTGTGGACTTGGCTGCCACCAAGTATGTATTTTATATGTGGGCTATTACTACTAATAAAAGTAAAATAAGTTATTCAATATGAATGACTGCTCCTCTCCCCCTTGATGTACATAAAATAAGCCACATATAATGGGAGAGTAAACTCAGGCAACTGTAATAATTCTGTGACACTCCTACAGTAACAAAGACAAGAAAAAAAGTGAAATGCTTCTAACAAAACAGTTCACTTAAATTCACTTTAAAAGTTCACTTTAAAAACAAATGAACAAAAAATCCTAGTCACAAATCCATTCCACTAACTTTTTGTTTCTTGAAGGTTTCTCTTTAACAATACTTTCCCAAAAAATAACTATGCTTAAGGTATTTGCAGATAATTATCACAAGACCAACAGGGAACATGTATCCTACTTAATTTCCTCTTTTCCTGGAAGCAGAAGACCCCTAAATAACTTTGTAATATAAAGGCTTCTACACAGGGAAGCTTCAGCTTGCACCAAAGGAGGAAAGAAATGAAAGCTTCACTTACGGCTTTCTATGCATCAGACTGGGAAATCTACACACCCCAGCTCTCCCATAAATCCCAAGTGATGTAAACCATGAAAATCTCTTGGTGGATTACGAACTGAGTAAATGCTTGAACTAGAGCAGATGGACTTTTTCCTGTACATAAAACCAAACCAGACAAAAATCACGTACATGTGAGGGAGGAATGGACATAGTGCTGTGCAAACACTTTCCTAACCTACATTGTTACTGGTCCCAGCCTTAGGAGATCAGCAAGTTTCAACTGATACAAGGATTCCTATTGAAAACAAAACTCCTACCAGTAAAACAGAATTAGAAAAATAATTTAAAGCATTAAGTTACAGGTTATGTATAAGCACCGAGTCACAAACATTTCTTTTTCTGACAGAAGACACCAGAAAATAGATTCCAAAAAAACACACAAATTTTGCCTCAAAGATTTAATCAACACGATTTGCAAGAGAGCATCGAGTATTCTGAAATGATTTATGAGCTGCAAAAGTGAAGCATGAGTCATTCAAAGTGTATCAGTTGTATTAAAATTTCAGTTATTGGTGTTTACTGATGGCAGGCTGAGAAAAAAGAGTTAGAGAACAGACAACAGAGCAAATAAAAACTTGACACTGGTTAAACCTGTAGTTGAAAGGATTACGTACAGCAAGGAAAAAAGCTTTTCTCCTTTTTCAAAGAGTTTGCACATTGTCAAGGTCCACTTCCATCAGAGAAATACATTAAAATAATTTTCAATCTATATTCTATTTTCTGGCCTATTGAAAGTATTCAAAGACACAGGAAAGACTAGGCTTCTGCCAAGCAGATTAAAGAAAACCACATTCCTACATATTTTAACTATACAGTTACACATCCAAATTCAAAGCAGAAAAATAATTCAATGCAAATACTCAAGAAATCCAGAATTACGGATTCTGATAAATCTGGGGGGTGCCAAGACTATGAAAGGAGTGCCTGAACTTGATGAGGAGATCTGTGTAGGATGGTTTCTGGATCCTTGTATTCATTTGAAGGATCCATCACAGCTGCATACAACTCACTGTAAGCTCTGCAGACCAGTTCTGTTGACTGTTTTATTATCTGCTCTCTAAAAACCAAAACAAAATAACATAATTTGCAAATTGTAGGGAATGTAACTGTACTACAGACATGGAATTAAAGATATACATTAATAATAAACATTAATTTTTTTTTTGAAAAAGGCTTCTTCCTCTCATTGTATCGTACAAAGATAAACTCACATATATGACCTGATAACCAAAACAGAAACTTCTTTATTTCTACAATCAAGCAAAAAGATTAAATTTGCATACATCAGTTTCCCACCTGCACTTGCTTGTGTCTTTTAAAAAACTTATAAACTTAGTGATCTACCTTCAATCTCCAGTGGCTTCTCACTGTCTTTTGTAAATACACACTTTTTTTTTTATCTACTAGCATATATTCTATTTGATTATCTTGACAGCAAGATTCCATAATCAGACAAAAACTAGTCATAGTGGTCAGAGATTTAAAACACAACCTTTTACCAACAATGCTATGTCCTGTTATTTTTCTGGAGATAAATGAGTAACAATGCACACAGACTGAATGCTAAATTTAACTGGAAAGTTTAGTATTTTTTAAAGACAACCTAATGATTTTATTTTATACTGCCCATTACATCAGTTTACTTTAATCATCATGGTGATGGTGCTTACAGTAGGAGATGAATTTTTATCTATTAGGAACTGCAGTTACAACTACCTGACAGCCAAACCCATGCAATGGGAACTCCAGCAGAAGCTGAGGAAACCAAGGTAACCACAAAACCAGATTCAGCCCTGCTGTAATATGCAGCAGAGAAACAAAGGCAACAAAACTGCATCCACTAAAATCACGGCTGAATTCACAGACTGTTGGGAATTGATAAGTTGAAGAAATTTCAAAGACGAAGTACAAAAATCTTTGTCTTTAAAGGAAACATTAAGGAACAGAAGCTATGAGAAAGCAGATTAGAAGACCAAACCTGCATTTTACTCTGACACACAGTATCCAGGTTTTTTTTTATATACAGCATCAACTGCCAGTATTACTAGGTTATTATGATACCTAAAATAAAAGACTGCCCTTATAACAACAAATCCAAACCCACTATTATAAGGGAAATATATTCAGGGTGCTCAGGTAAGACAACTGTCTCTGACCTCAGCCTGGGATCACTAAGGTACTGTAACATGACAATCCTTTATGAAAATATTGCACACTGAATTTGTGTAGAACTAGTGTACCAAATGAATAAAAAAAAAAAGCTTGTTAAAATATTCAGAGGACTGAACAGAATCACATGTGTTGTTCAATCAAATAATGTCAGTGTCATTAATCAGTACATTAGGATTTCAGTTGCCATAACAACGTGATACATTTATTACTAACACAATTGGCAGCACTTGCTAAAAATAGTAATCCCAGCATTCAGTTTCTGTGATCCAACACGAATGAAAAGAGCTCTTCAAGACCAACAACCATATGAATACATAGCTTAAGGCTTTTTAAGTGAGTGAAGGAATTTGAAAGACAAGAGCATGCACTGGTAACGTTGGAAGGAATGTTCTTCACAGTTGCAAAGCTTAAATGATATTGCCAATGAGTATATCATACACTGGTCCCCTTATCACAGCATGTGGTCTGATTCTGAGAACCAAAGACCTCATAGGTTACAGCTCTCAATTATCTGATTTGAGGAAAAATATCTTCAAAATTGAAAATCCCAACTACTATAGCCAGGGATTAAAATTACAGCACTAGTTACATGTTTTGCTTGAATTTTGAGAAAATTCAGGATTTTCAAGGCTTATTTACTATTGAAAATATTGACTATCAAGACAGCAATTCTACACTCATCTCTGTAAATGGGCATTTTAACTTCAGAAGGATTGCTTGTGTTTAAAGCTAGTTGTTTGAAAGCTAATGGGCTAACTGATTTATTTCTTTTGTTTTCACTCTGAGCAGAACCTGACCTATAGCATTGATTACAGCAGGTTAATAAACTTCTGCATGTTAGCTGAGTTGAAGCAGCTATAGCAATCATCCTCACAAAAGGCTTCTTTCTTACCTCTCAGCTGTCCACTGCTGCAAGATAATATGAATTCAGCTTAAAATGTGCTGAGAGGTGTAAAAAGCTTATCAATGAGATAAGGCTAAGAGTGCCTACATAACCAGTTTATCTTGGATCATCTGACAGAAGGATTGATTAAGTTCAAGTAATTTCACTGTGCCAGAGTCTTTATGGTAGCATAGAGTCTACCTCTTAAAACTGCCTCTGTGCTAGCAATGAAAAATTGAGGCTTTCAAAATACATTTACTGTCATTACAATTTTTAAATAGATTTACATTTAAGAAAATATATCAAGAGCCAAAATGCAGGTTTAATGTCCTGACACTGAGAAGCAGAAGTTGTGATGTTTCAATGACATTACTGGTCAAGTTATGCTGTTTGATCTGTACAGTGCACAGACACACAATAGGGTCAGCTCTGCCAGCTGAGCTGTGGGAATGGTAAATCTGGCAGAGACACCCAATGCCAGCTGAAAAACACCAGCATTCCCTGTGCCCACCATGCTCCACCTGTATGATGTGACACTGGGAGTCTTTGGATGAGGAGAACCTGAGCAATGCAGCACCAGAACCTGGCAGCTGGACTAGCTGATCACTGTAGGTCCCTTCCAACCAAACTGTTCTATTCAATTCCCAACAATAATTATTTTTCCCTTGACATGTCATTTTTTAATTGCAAGATGCTGTAATACAACCCCACTGAGGACAAGCACTAATAATGGAACTTCAAACTGTTGCATTATGTAAAATGTGATGTGCTTGTCTCAGTTTCTGGTATATTTGGTTACCTGCATTCTTCACAAAAGTGTGAAAAATAGTGTCAAGGAAAGTTTTTGATCAGTGCAACATATAATTCTCTGAGTTTAAGTACTACAGGAAGTCTTCATGTGGTTCACATTTAATTGGAAAGGAATTCGTGGCACTTTCCCTTGCCTTAGGGTTCAGTTATGCTCAAAAAACAAGTTAAGAGATAAATAATAAAGTTCTTACTTCCATACTTCAAAGAAGAAATCTCTAAAAAAAAATACATTAGGTGAAAAGTAAAATAATCTCAGCAAAATATTCAACGAGACAGAATGCCAATATTCTACAACAGAAGACAACAAAGGTGAAAATTCTAGAAGTGACAAAGCAGTGGGGATAAAAGAAAATTTGGAGAATTATATATTTCACCTGTCTTTGGAAAGCTTAAAAAATAGTTCTAAAACAATTTACCACCTAGATGATAAAAAATTGCTGACACAGCAGAACATGTTCAAAATAGATTAATGTAATTCATCTTGATGGTGTCTCTTAAATCAAGGGTAACTACTTCAGAAAGTTACAGAATTAGATACTCCTTGCTGCTTGTTCAAAAGGAGGAGAATCAGAACAAAACTGAATTGTGACCTGAAGGACAATACAAATATCATCCCGGCTGATAACCTGAATTCTTATCATGATTCACTAAAACTTAATCAAATTCAATTTTGTGATCATTATTCAGGCATAATAGAAATTCAGAGGCAAGGTACTTACTTCACAGTGGCACTCAGAAGGAAATTCAGCTGGGACATTAACAGGCTATCTGGAGCAGACAGATAGCGATCAAACTGAGCCTGCAAGAAGAGAATATGAGATCAACATATTAACACCTTGCTATTACACAAAAATAGGCAAAACCACCATTTCTGAAAACATCCCTGATTACATTAAGAAATAGAACTTAATTGTCCAAAACAAACGATTGACCTCAGTGCCTCTGCCACCAAAATTTTGTTTCTGACTCTGAGGAATATGAGTGGAGGGTAAATAATGAGAATCCAGCTTCTATAATTATCCGTCTCAGCTTTCTATGCAGCTGGTGCAGGTACTTATACATCAGTGAAGATCACACTGAGACTATTCAATGCAAAGGCAATACAAGACAGCTTCAGAGCTATCTATTATCTACTCTGTCCGAATTAGACATGTTGCTTGATTCTTTTTGCATGTTTCTTTTTATTTTTTGGCAGGGAGTCACTGCTTATGTTGGGAAAAACAAAGCACAAATCACCCACTTCAGGCTTCTTGAACCACTTCTAAGCCTACTTCTCTTTCTCACAGAATAAAGTGATAAGAAGAGCCATACTTTGATTCTAAGAAAAAACATCACTCCTGTCTAAGTCAGACAGAAAAATTGTGCCTGCCCCACTCCTGGCAGTGTTCATGGCCAGGCTGGAACAACATAGTCCTTAAGGTCTGCTGCAACCCAAATCATTCTGTGACTGTGTGGTCAAATGAGTGACTACTGAGAAGACGAACCCAGGTCTTCTCACAGGTGAAAACAGAAGAATATTGAACACATATCACACTAGGAAGCATTTTAATTACATAGTGAGAGGAAAAATTATTATCAGACATGTCATCAAACATTGAACAGATTATCCAAAAAACCTGTATAACCTCCCTCCTTGGAATTACTCATTAAGACAAGGCCCTAAGTAAGTTTATCTAACTGATGGCAACCTTCCATCATTCATTCAACCTTCAATTTAATCACTGAATGAATATTCTCAGGGTGGTAAATCCTAAAATCCCCATCCATCCATCATTTAGAACAGTGTTACACATGTACAATTTAAAGAGAAGGTCCCCAAGCTGCAGCCTTTAAATCTGTTGTTAGTCTACAAGACTATGCTAAATAGAAGATATTTTAAATGCAAAATTGCTAAGTTTTAATAAGAATGCATGCCGATCTGAGTAAACCACTGAATGCTCTATGCCAGAGCTCTGTTCATCCAACCAGCTTAGGAACTGCTGGTTTAAATCCTGAAGAGAAAAAAATGGGTTACACTATCATAATTGGGATGCTTTCAAGTTTTTTTTAAAAACCTTTTAAAATCCCGTTTTTTCCATGGGTGTGTGTACATATACTGCTATATAAGCAGGCCTTTACAGTTAAACTTTTAGAATAAAGCTAAACTTGGCTAAGCAAGAAGAGTGAGAGATTATACATTATTGCCTACTGAACTGTGATATTGCTATCTCTATGCAAAATAGCCTTCACACACGCTAAGAAAAAATAACAGCTGATAATTTGCTTTAAAATATATTGTAGCTTTCAACATAAAAAAACCATAACTGTGACATACACCCAGAATCTAACTTCTGAGTAAAGCTGAACTACTTGCATAAAATTAAAGCCTTAGGACTAAGATTGTAAATGATAGCAGAACCTATATTTCAAAGCATAGGGGCAAAAAAAAGAAACTTTGGTGATTAAAACTAATTAGAGCTAAGTATTTGCTTTTAGCAATTTAAGATGACTCATGGGACAGCATTGTTGTAAGTAAAGATCTGCTTCTCAAGGCTTAGAAAATAATATTCTATTACTACCCTTTCAGAAATAATTGATGTATTTATTACTTCAAGTGGTCAAATTACTACAAATGAAGAATTCCCAGACATGTAATTCGGCTATTTTTGAAGAGCAGGACTGATTAGATGAGTATCTTCTACTACAGATGAGGTATCTTCTAATCACATAATTAACAGTATTCTTTCCTATGTCAGAGCATCACCATCATAATAGGAAAGTTATAAATGCTTACCATTGCAACCTTCAGGGACACAGAATCCATACTTGATAAATTTGAAAGAGGACCCTAAAAATCAACAATCAAACAGGGGGATAAAAAAAGGTCATACTAGCACATAGAAACAGAGAAATAATAAACACTACAATCGGTTCAGTAGTTAGTTTTTATTTGGTCCTGCTACAGGATCTTAAATGTTTGGAAACTATCACCATTTCAGTACTGAAATGCTGTTAATAGCTCATTTGTATTCCACCAGTCCCTTAAATTAAAAGCTGAGAATATGGAATTATTATTATGTCCTTTCAAATAATTTTCTTCCTTCTTCACCACTAAATAAAGTAAAAAATAGCCTTCCACAAGGGCTAGAATAAAAACCGCAAACCGCAAACTGGCTACATCCCTTTGGTAATCTGGACTTAAGAGACAGCAATTTTGCTCTATCTATCTGCTCTTGAACTGTGAAGAATTCAGACCCACTTCCCAGTAAACCTTCTGTGCTGGTATGGCAGTACAATGCACAAATGCTGCTTAACCCCCCAGAAAATTCTGTGACAACATCACCTCTGCAGCCAGGCAGCTGTACAGACAGAAATGAAAATTGCTACATTAACAACCATTAACAACCTGCCCTAGTCAACTTGAAATTGGTTTTAAAACAGGAGATAGGCTCATGAATAGAAAACTGAGTTATTAATCAGATTATTCATACATTTATTTATTCATCTTTATACATAAAAATCTGTTGAGTTTGGGCACTTTATGCAAAATTATTAGTTGAAGAAACAACATAAAGCTCTCCAACAGAGTTCTGCTTTCTCCAGAAAACACTGTTTTTCACTTCCACAAAAGATCACAAAAGGACATAGGCACAGCTGAAGGCAAGAAGGGCTGTATTAACACCTACCACATTGCAACTGTGCTTCACAAGAAAGGGAGAGCATGAGCTCTGAATTCCAGTTTTCAGCTCCTCTAAGAAATCTCAAGTTTTCACTTTGAGAATCTCACTGTCTTGGTACTAGAATAGCTACAGCAACAAATAAGGACGAAAGAAGAAACTATTTCAAACTACTACTAAACTCATCTGCCAGTTTTTCGCGGAAGGAAAAAAGCAGCAATTACCAAATGCATGCAGCTATCTATGGACTCCATGTGTGCTGCTACAGGAAGCAATGAAGAAGCTGAATGCTGCTTACATATACAGCAGGTCTAATATAGCAGGTCTAGGTGCACTGGGAATGCTGATATGCAGACCCAGTGTGTACCAGACAAGTGGTACAGGACTGCTGCACACCAGCTCTGCTAGGCCTGCTGAACACACAGTAAAAGAAGCTGTAGCTGCAAGTGCCTGCATCTAAAAGTCCTAGTCCCATGTGAAAAACCAACATTACTGAACCTTTCCTTTCAGAGGAAGCCTAATTTGCAAAAACATTAGGGACAAATTTCCACTAGTTGGCAAGTGTGTGGTACCCCCTCAACATATAAATTCTGTAAGCTCACCTGTTCGGGTTTGTGCTGCTGCAGAGCGTTATAAATGTAACTCAGACCAGCTCTTGTTAGTACGTAGGAAGCTTGCTCATTTATGAGTGTATCTAAATGAGCTTCAATCTGAAATATTAAGCGTAAGTGAGCATGTGAGAATATTAAATGTAACAAGTTCTGGGGTTAAAAGGTCTAGAAACACAAATAAGAAGAAAAAAACAAAACAGGGAGAGTGATCAACAAACAAAGAAATACTACAAATACATACAGAATAATTATTTTATCCATTTATATCTTTCATATTACAAGGAACCAATAATAAAAATGCAGAGAATTTTCTGATGTCTGATCAATAAAAGAACCTAGTTTTTTTGTATTTGTAAATACAACACCACCAAAAATGAAGATTATAGACTTGATCTTAAAAATTCCTATATAATTTTATTTTCCTATAATTCTTTGAAAATATGTGATAAAAATAATTCAACTATTATTGAAAATACTAACAATAACATGGCAATTCTACAATAAACAAGAGACAGTCTTTCATAAGGAAAATAAAACCAAAAACAAATCATACTAAGAATTGATTTTAAAGTCAATACTGATAAACGTGCATTGAAAATAGTCAGCTGAATTTTGAAAAAAGTCAACTGAAAGAATAGACAATGATATTACAGTTATCCACTTTGTTGTAGTTATCTTCATATGAAAAAACTTTTAAGAGTATTTTACATTCATAATATAATCTTTACTTTGCAAGAAAACCTAATCCCTAAATCCAGTCACAGAAGCAGCAATAATTTTTCAGTTTGAGCAGTCTCAGAAAGCCATTTGGGTATATATATATAATTATTTCATTTTCACAGATAACTACTCCACAATTTTTTTCTTCCAATCCTAAAGAAAAAAATATAACATATTTATAATTTTTTTTTTTTTAGTAAGTCTAGTAAAATGTAAGACTCTTTTGTCTGATACATAGAGTTCACCTTTTTACTTCCTAAGATTGTTTAGAAGAACACACTTTCCTTTTTAAATCAGAAGGGAAATCTTAATATTTTAATTTGGAGTTTTTAACTGTCTTTGTGAGTTCTTTTTCTATGAAAAATGTTTCTCCTATTAAATATGCCATTCTAACTCCACTTGAATAACCTACTTATGTATAATCTTAAAGATTTTTTTCAGTCTGTTCCTGTATTTGTAAAATGTTTGAAGAAAGTAAATGATATTAAATGTGTAAGCTTCAGTTCTACTGCTTTTCTGAAGAATAAATCAATTGCAACATTTACTGTGAAAGGAACTCTGATAAAAGAAATTAGAAATACCCCAGACAGTTTGGTGAGGTTGTCTGTTTGTTTGTTTCAGAGCTAAAAGGTGCTAGAAATTCTGATTAGGAGTAGAAAGTGAAAAATGGCTCGCAGCCAATCCTTGCAGATCTCTTTAAATAAGAATTTGTAACTTTTTTCTAGCCCCTCAACTCCAAATACTCTCCTGATATATACTGCAGACATATTCATGTACCAAAATACAAATGGGCAGTGGCCAAGTTCTTGTAAGTCAATAGTCTCTAAATTTTCACTTTCATTGCAAAATTGTACCATGTATGAACTACTATCCTGGGATGTGAGGGGAAACCAAACAAATGAGAAAAGAGAGGCAGAAAGCAGGACTGAAGCAGTAACTTCAGCTACACTATATTCTAATAGAAAATAGATGATGATCTAGTACTAACTCTATGATGGAATACAACACCACCAAAGTCAGCCATTTGACTGAGTTTTCAATTTCCATTTTCTTCTTCTCATACAGTTTGCAGATAAATATTAGAGTGATTAGGATAATGAAAATGTTCACTGGTCTGGGTTTATCTGCAACTAAACCAAACAAAACCAAATCCTTTAATCATGTTCTGTCTGTTTAAAATGAAAAATGCTATCTGCTCATGACCTCTGATAAGAAGCCCTCTTATCCCATTTCCCCAGTATTGATAATGTTGGCTTTGGGTTGAAATATGTTCACATCACGACTTACAGTGTACAAATATCAGTAATAAGTTAATTTTCTTTTGGGGCTGCTAAAGCTTACCTGAAACTGCAACATTTCTAGACGTTTGTCAGTGAATTCAAAAAGAGCCAGAGTAGTCCTCATCATGTAAAGTGAATTTACCATGTAGGTTGCCATATCAGCGGTGCCCAAATTACTAGCAGACATAGTACACATCTGTAACAATGGATCTAGCACACAAGACAGAACCTAAAATAGCAATCACAGAAAAGAGGGAGGGGAGGGAGGAAATCATGTCACACGAGGCTGCTAACCTCATTCTGTCTCTATCATGTATTTATTCCCCAAAGCAGAATAAAGAGGAATGAGAGTTTCCAACTGTGAAAGCAGTTTTCTACTGGATTTGTCAGCAGGTGATCACCTACCACAGTGATGGGGGAAGTATAAAAACCTGAGAAGAACAGATTCCAGCCTAGCAGGAGGAAGAATAACCCAGATTAGATAATTGGTAATTGTGCAATCTTGAGGGTGTATTTACTTACAGTAATTGGATAACAGAATTTAGATACTGTGTTAAGAGTAGCACTCCATACTCAACTGTAATTATCCATTTTGTTAGTCACCCTGTTATGTACATTACAAACTCTGGCTTGACAGAGAGCTCCAAAATGGGACCAGACAAAAAGATTAATGTTCCATCTACCTTTTGTGCACTGAAACTAACTTAGACATTCTTTATTTTACCCCTCTCCCTCCTCTTCATACACATAAAGCAGTCAAACATCCTTGTACCTGCACAAAGTCAGCCTGACGGGCATCCAGTGGAATAACAGATGAGTCATGAGATGCCAGAACCTCCCGCAGCAAGTTAAGTGTCTGATTTAGGGCAGAGCTTGGGCCAAGATCAGGAGGTGGGAGCTCAACCTGAAGAACAAGATTATGTTTGCAGGGACTTTTATTAATCCCATTTACAGCAAATACCACCCAGTCTCTTAGCACAATGCAATCAGCTAGTAACAAAATGACATACAGGCACACAGAGAAGAACTTTAATTTGACACTGGACAAATCTAGCACATTTCAGACAATAACTGCCTACAACTTTCAGCATGACCATCTCATTCAGTGCCAAACAAGCAACACTGAACTTCTCCTTTCATTCTGACTATGCCTGTTTTATCATTTGGAGAAACACTACTGTTTTGGCATTGAAAAAAAATACATTTACTACATTAGGTGCCAGAGTAGCCACTTTGTTGGCACCACTGAGTTCACTTTGAGCAAGTACTTCAGAGTCTAGCACAAGAAGAAATCTGGGAGATGAGTGCCATGCTGTAGCAGTTCTTGACAAGACTGCACAGCTCCTATGATGCTGAGTATGAGAGCTGTAGTCACAAAAGCAACAGTCTCAATACAGTCTCAACCCCCAGCAAGCTTGTGCCTTAAATTACCTGTACACAAAGGAATGGCACACAAGCTAACTCAAGTATACCTACATGAACTGCAACGAGACTGCACAAACTGAAATGCAGGCTTATGCCAAAGATAAGAAGCAGGTAACGCAGATGGCTTAAAAAACAAAGAAGGAAAGTTAGTGTATATTAGAGAAAACATATGCTTTCCAAGTCAAATTATGAATATTGGACACCCTGAAATGGACTGAGATTCTATGCTATTTTTAACCCAGGCTCACATACTTTAGCCCTTTCTTTGTAACAGCCAAATACTCATTAAGCACTTAATAAAATATTTATAGGAAATCTAGCACCTCTTTTTCCCAACACACATTTCTTAGGTTCTACTCCAAACATAGATGCATCTTTTTGTCTCCAATGCTGCCTCAAACTGATTTCCTGCTGCCTCCAAACCCTTACTACAACCTCATTTCCTTCTGCCATCAATCCACTTCCCACCTTTCTCTCTTCTGCCCATGCAAGGGCAAACACAGATGTGGCTGGATCATGTAGGAGCAAGAAGTCCCTCTGCAATACACAGTAAGTTAAGACTTAAAGGTATCATCTCTCCCCAGAAGGAGGAAGAAGTAAGTTTGGATGGGACTGGCCCACGTGTCTCAGTCAGGGTATCTGGCTGCAGGAGAGCAATGCAGTGCGCACTTCTGCAGTACTCTTAAGACTCCAGCTCTAAAGAAAAGGCAGCAGCTTTGGATAGCTCCAAATCTTAGGCAACATGTTCCATAGCTTCCCAAATAAGAAACACCAATGAATGGAAGAGTAATATGGATGTCTGAATTTTCAAGTTAGAAAAAAAAATTAAATTCCAAGGGGCAGAAGCTGATAGCCAAATAAATCAAGGAGAGCGCAGCAAACATCTTCAGAGCAGAACATTGCAGAGCTTTCTGGAAATAAATCTATACCTGATGAACATGCCAGCAAAAAAAGAAAAAAAGAACTCTCTCTTTGAAACCAGGCTGAACTTTCACACTTTGTGCTTTGAAACATTTGAGATACCATACATGTCCCCACACTTTTACCAACACAGATTTAACGAAAACTTTTCTCATCCTTCTGAATATAAAATGTTCCTCTATTCTCACTTTTCAAAAGAGAGTATACTGAACTCAAGGAACTAATGGAAAACTAAATCTAATAGGTTCAGAGAATAGCTGTTCAACCCAAGCTCTTGAAAGCATGAAACAAATATTCTCGTAATAGGGTAACAGTGATACAAAAAGAGGCACTTACTCAGTGCTGATCAGTAGTAAGTTTATTGAAATTTACAGCACTAAATTACTTGCTTCTTGATTCTTGTTATTTTTAGGGGTATTGATTGTGTCCTGAACACAGCAGTTCAAGATTTGAACTGAACCATGTTCAGTGATATTTTGCCATTACTTTGAAGCTAGAGTTGATGGAGTTTTCAGTTCCAAAACACACAAATCATGGCAATTATAATTTCAGGCTGCTTTGCACAGAATTTTTGTCTAGTGATGTAGTTAGTGCTCAGAAGCTCTTAAATTAGATTCATCTTTCATTTGTCTGTTCCTTTACAGTCCACAGTCTTCTAGGTAAGACCAAGGAACAACATAATGGAAGAAGAAAATATGGCAAGGAAAAAAGATTTAGATCACTACATTGTATTTGGGTTACCCTGAAATCCCTGACTACTGAAACAGAGACAAAATTATCAGTCAGTGGAAGGAGAATCAAAGTAGTGTTATATTAATTTTGAAAATTCTAACTTTTGACACATGAATACAAAGTGAGGGCTTTTTTTTCCAAATTAAAAAAGAAAATTTAAAAACAGACACTTCAAATTTATAGAGGAACCTACAGACTCCAACTCATGAGCACTGATTACTATTCTTATAAAAAAATAATTGATGTCCTGAATGTTTTACATGAGATCATTAGAATTGATACTATTCCCAGAAAAATAGGTTTCAAATACATGCTGAGTTCTATGTTTGAAGTACCTCTTTCAGATGCAAGCTAGACAGCAGGTAGCTAAAATATGATTAGGGAAGTTCTGCAGCAGCGAGTTCAACTGCATTAAAACATACACTAACACACTATTAAGTTTCTAATAGGTTTCAACTACCAGTTCAGTCATACAGAAATTATGCCACACAGCTCTTCAGCCTTTCAAAAAACCCAAGAAACTATCCATTTTGAAAATCCAACATGGAAAACTGAAATGGGTACTAAAAGTTGTACATAAGCTTTAGTATAAAAATTTGTATCTTCTTTTCTGCATATTAATCAGTGGGGAACATATACCAAGCCAGCAATCTTCCTCCAAACATATAATCCAGAGCAGGTTTCTCTGTCTATGGGAGCAAGCAGCTCAAAAGATGTCTTACAGAATTTTACAAACAGCAAAGGAAAATACAGAAAAAAGAAAAGGCAGCATCAACAATCAAGAAGTGTGCATGTATGCTAATTGTCTCCCTTTCACATTTACAGAAAAGGTTACATTTTAAAAAAGGGCAAATTTTCTTCTGAAAATTCTGCACAGTCAATTGGAACTTCATATACTATGGTACTTGAACACTAGAAAGTTAACAGTTCGGATGTTCATGAATGGAATGGAATACCTCCTACACAAGGAGGGGCTGTGTTCTGCCTGGAGAAGGCTCATAGGGATGTTACACATGTGTATAAATATGTGAAGTGTAGGATGAAGATGGTGACAGACTCTTCTCAGAGGTGTCCAGTAACAGGTCAAGAGGCAATGGGCACAGATTAAGACACAAGAAAACAATCTTTTACTGTGACATTAGTCAAGCACTGGAGACAGCTGCACAGTGAGGTTTTGGAGTCTATCCTTTGTGATATTAAAACTTCAGCTAGACCAAGTCCTGGGCAACCTGCTCTAGCTGCCACTCCGTGTCACGAGCAAGATGGCTGGACTAGATGGTTTCTAGTTTCCTGTTGAACTCACCCACTCTTTAATTCTGTGATACTACTACCAAATAAAACAAGACGGTAATTTAAAACACAGAACTCCACAGAGAAAGCCCTGCTTACAAGTAACAAATGGAAGGTTAGTGGCTTTTATAAGAGCCTAAGCAGCTTTAAATACAGCCTCTTAAAAATCCCCACTGGCAGAATCTGGATCCAAAGTACTACAGAGTGGAATCCTGTAAAAATGTTATGAATTTTTCATGCCGTCAATTAACACTGAGCAGAATCAACTGGAGAATCCATTCTCCTCAGTTGAGACAATATCCACCAGTTGCACTTCCAAGAAACCTGAATGCATGTCTTATCAGAGAAGCTTTCTTAAGATTTTCTGGTCCTGTTAGGATTCTACAGAGGTGAACAAAGCAGAATGTCTAATGGCACGCTTGTCTTTTCAGCTATCAAGTTGGTCTTGGAAGAAAAGATAACTAGCTTTGCTTTGTTCTCATGGATCCATTTAAAAGGACAGTAGCATTCAGATCACAACAATAATCAGTTTTATTCAATCTGCCCCACATCTGATTTCCCAGAAATCTAATAGGTTTCACTCTGGCAGGAACCAAATTATGAAGGACAAGTTTACAATTATTCCCATGCAACGTTTTAATATCTCTCTCACTGAACAACTCAAAAGATAATGTAATCACAGCATTTAATTAGCATACATCTACTCTAAAAAGAACAGCATTAAGGAATAATAATCCCAAAACTTAATTTGGGATATGCTACTAATAGTCTTCTAAACAGCTCAGACAGCAGATGACTGGAGTTTGGCACAATCTTTCTCCAGTGCCCTTATGATAACTCTCATTCCATTTTATTAAATGTTTGCAATTATCCTTTCCTTTAGTAATTGTTTAGTAAAGCTGGGAGGAAGGACATGTGGGCTTGAATATTCCCACTCTCCTAATTTAACAGGTGGTCCAATAAAACATGCTGACATTGGTTGGCCTAACGCACTTGTTAAAATGCCTCACCAATGGATTCATGATAATAAATAACTCCCATATTGAGAGGACTGAAAGAGCAGTCCATCCACTCCAGTCCCTTAGGTACTCTGAACTTTACTCCCAGTTGCATTGGAACAGTTTATGTTGTTCTGACAATTATTTTCATTCACTATTTTCTCCTGGATTTACAATCATAAAATGATCATCTGTATTGGGCTGTTCTTAGATCCAGACAATGAGTAACCCAAGCAGAATCCTGAATTCCTATATATTTGATTAATAAGCACAGAGTGAAAAAAAACATGGAAAAGGATACGTAAGGATTTTAATGATAATTCTGATCCACTTTACTATAGCATGGCTCGTGGACCCATGGCTGGGTCCAAAAAAGCTAAAAAGCAACAAATAAAACCACATTTTTTTCAGCATAAGGACACCAATACTAGCCAAAAAACATTGTGGTTCAACCAAGAACCTGAACAAATCAATTGCTACCAGAGCTAGGAAGCATTGGCAAGAATGCCCAATACTGCCTCTGAAGGATAAAAGCCACTAAGGCAAAAGAGAGGCAGTGTCTGCGGTAAGAGCTGATGCACCAAACCTTCAGTGACACAGGAGATGGCTGGTGGTGCACAGCTTCTATAGGATGTCAATGTTGAACTCTACAGCAGCCTGAGAATCTCAAAGTTGTGAATGGCATTTTAAACCCTAAAAACAGAGTGTCTCTGTAACAACTCTGTTACCAAGCTTTGTGACAGGTTTCAAGAAGTGTCAGAACCAGAGACTCCCTAGAGTACTGCGTTTCTTTGATAAGACTGGACTCACTTTCCAGCAGTCTGCTGAAAATTTCTGTCACGTGGATTTCAGATCAAACAGATCTACCTGAGAAGCCGGAATGAGAACACCATAGAAAAAGCTTTCTCAGAACAAATAGTTTGAAGTTGAGAGCTGCTGAGTATTTTATTTTCAGATTCCAACCAAGATGCTTGAGATTTTCTTATGTAATGGAAAAAAAGTCTATAGCAAAATGCTCTGGGCAAACCAGTAAGTGTTCTGAAGTAACCAGGGATTTCCCTCTATCATTTACACCGATGGCTTGACAACCAAGAGGGAGAATCCTGATCTAAGACTGCCTAAAAGCTTCCATACACCTCCACACTAGTGACACTCCTTATGTAATATGGGACTCAAAAATAGATATGAAGAGGAAGCTATTTTCTTGTCCTAGAAAGAACAGCCTGAAGTCTCAGTTTCCCAGTGTGCTGGAATTAGAACTAGAAATTAAATCTCAGGCAGACTGAATTCAATGCTCAACTCAGGATAATCAATAATCGAGGGAATTATTGTCTGTGGTGATGAGGACATCAAATTACCATCCTGTCACTTGTCTGCATCCTAAGGATGGGATCCTGCAGAGTTAGCATATTTAATGAAACCTGCTTTCATTAAATTCATGAGAAAACATGTTCTCAACTAGCTATATTTAAGTGAAAGGTTTGCTTAAATCATATTCTATCAACTACTAGATACAATATAGATATTTAAAAAGCGAATTATCAGCAACGACAGATGACACTGAGGAAACACTATTATTAAAGTTGTCTACCTGACAGACCATTCATCACTTTCCAGTAATCTTAACAAAAGGGGCACTTAAACCTATAGAAATAGAAGTATTTTTACTTCAGAACATCCTAGTTTAATTTTAATGTATCTCCAAAATTATTCAAATTGTCTTAAGAATCATATTTTAATCAAAGTATTGGACAACTGTTATTCTCTGAAACAGGTTTATCAATGCCTTAAGAAGAATAATCTAAATTGAGTAAGAAACCGCAATTTCCAGATTGTTCAAGTGAAAAGTAATTTATTAATTTTCCCACTGAATATTCTCTAGGTGCACAACAAGAACAGCAATGAAGCCTTTGCAAATGCCTAAGTAAGTACAAAAGGTCTATCTTCCAGGGGTTTAATCTTCTTTAAAAATAATAAAAAAACCCAAAAAACAACCAAACCTGGAAGCAATTGCAGTGCACACATAGATGGCAAAAAGATGGAAAAAGGCTGGCATGTGAAGAAAATCCTACTAATACATATAAACCATTTCTGTCTGAACGCTCATTAAAAAAAAGCATAGTAAAAAGCAACCTTCAGTTTCCTCGAAATGTAAAGGCATTGTGACATTCACTACTAAATTTACAAAGACAAATGAAAAGGCATAAAAACCTGTTTATCTGTACAGTAACACACAAAATACTAAGTAACAAGAGAATTAAATTTATGATAAAAGAAAGGTCTTTATCGCATGGAAACTAATGTTTTTCTGAGTGCAATCCACCTATAAATTTTGTATTTTTTATGAAGCAAAACTAATTTCAGTCATGAAGAGATAAGACATCATTCTGTCCATTCAGTAATCCACTCACAAAGGGTAATAATATATGGTGCTACAGAGGACTATCTAAAACTCAGTTATGAGAACTATGCATTAGAACAGTAAGATTTCTTCTCAGACACAGAGTTACCTCATTGTTAACTCCTGAAGCAGGTTCATAAATAATTGTGGAAGCCTTTGTTACCCATATATCTAACAGTCCTCTAAATCTCTTTAAGCTTTTGACCTCAATTATATTCTGAGGAAAGATCTTCATAGGGCAAACAGGCAATGTAATATGTTGATGTTTCAGACTTAATTTATAAATGTGTTTCTGAGAAAGAGCAATATTATGATCTTTTCCCATTACATGGTAGGCTCGGTATGCCATTCATTACTTGTAATATAACACTGCTGAAGGTGGCAGCGCAATCACTGCCTTCATTTAAGGCCAGTAAAAGCAAATTTGACTACTTTATAAAACAATGACAGCATCTAGAATTGGTTACATCCAGATTGGGAGCAGAGGGAAGGGGAACTAAGAGGGCAAAGAGGACTACACAACCTTTTCACAGAGGGACAATAGAATAAACAAACACACGCTATGGACTAGAGGATAATAACTCCATTATCATTCTTCTTCTGAATTCTACACATTTCTGAACTGAAAACAATGTATCACCCAAAACAAAACTTCAAAGACTGTGAGTTACATGAGTAGGAAAATCATGTTGGATCCTAATTGAGTATAGATGTAATACCGAACAGAATAAAAAAATAAAAAAGAGATGAATACAGAGATGTATCCAAGCCAAGAAAATTTCTTTCCCTAAGCAGTTTGCAAGCAAAGAGTAGTCATACATTTTTGCTAAGGTCCAACACTGATTACGTTTCCTAAAAGGAAATTTTACACAAATATTTTATTTTAGCTTACATAATGGGAAATAAAACATTTTTTGGTAAAGTCATGTTGTTCTTGTCCATTGCATGTGTTAGGAACTCAGCTTTAGCTGATCCTTGAAGAAGCATTAATAGCAAAGGAACTATTATTGATATGATACTGCATTCAAATGGGAAATACCCGACAGCAACAATGCATTAAGTGGACTTTAGCAGGATGGACTGTGGGTGGTAGCAGCTAAGGAGCAACCCAATGAAGGAATGAAACCACTGAAAGGAGTCACTGGGATATCTGGGAGAGGAGGAACAACTGCTTCTTTGAGAAAGTCATTCCCCAGCCCCTGCAGAAAGACAGGAAATTAGGACCAGAGAGACTCCGCTGAATGAGAAAACTCATTTGGGACCACAGAACAATGATGACAAAACTCAGAAAACCTGATTGAGTGCTCAGCAAATTACGAGTCTGCACAAAGAATAGTTTCTGCAAAATGAAGTCTTTTCTATTTTTTTGTAGGTTAAATAATTTAGAAATGCATTTACAAATGTTGCAGCAATGTTCACGTGATAAAACTAATTTTATAGTAAGATAGAAAAGCACAGAATTTGTTTGTACTTAGATTACCATTTTAGGATATACCTTGCAACTTCAAAAAAGGAATAATGCACAATTAACTACTGATCTGATGATGCCTTAATACAAATTATACAGCTCAATCGCCCGTTATACACAAATTATATTATTACAATATTATTATTAATTAACACAAATTATACACCTCAATTGCTCTATTTCACTTATGAAAACTTCCTACTTTTGTTGCTTCCCATAGATTTTAAAAATATGTAAACTGTTCTGCAAAAAGAATATTGCTAACTGCAAGATTTTAGCCACATACCTACAAAACCTCCACTATTATTAGAATTAAAATATAAACAGAAAGTTTGTAATGTAGTTCCATGACTAAAATATTAAAAATACAAGACTTCAGCTTTAGGAAAAACTGACATATAAAACAGCTATTTACCTAGTAATCTTACTAGACAAAAGGGTAATGCAAGCATGTTTTGAAAGCAGAAAGCCATACAATTTTGAAACAAACCTTGTCCATTAGTTTACTTGCATGAAGACTCAGGCTATTAAAGAATATTTTCTTGCTCAACAAATGCATTTCTTCAATTGTTGTTAACAGTGTGGCAGCATTGTTTCCTACAATACCACTGAAAAAAAAATAAGATTATTTAACAAATCTAAAGTGGGGACAACATGATAGTTAGATATTTAAATATAATTTTAAGAAAGATTATTTTCACAGTTGAAAACTTAGAACAAATAATTGCAAGGAACACTTCTCCATTACAGCGGAGAGATAAGCTGACTGTAAGAACAAGCATCATCAAGTATGTCACTGAGCACACATTAAATGCAGGCTATCACACTTGCACAAACTTTTTTGTAGACTACTACAATTTACTGGATTTTTGCTCTCTTAAGCAATAAATCTACTTCTGTTATCAAAAAAGAATTACATAACAAAAAGAGTTAACTATTCTATCATGCTGCCTGTTAGGGATAGCATTACCTCTCCTTTCTTCACGGAGATGCTGGGCTTCTCTAAAAATGTAAGAATTCATGCCTTGATATTCTCAGTGCCAAACTACTACACTTAGCACAGACACCATGTAACCCTTAAATGGCACTACAGGGCTATGCTCCTCTCAAGTATATATCCTCCCTCTGGCTATAGAAATTGCACTTTTAAGCTACAAACTGGCAGTAAAAATTCACTGGGTCATAATAGGACTAAACCTCTATCTCAATTGTCAGATTGTAATCTTGTGTTTAATAGATCATTTCTCAAACTGCTTCTTCCTTTCTTTAGTGAGGTGTACCTTCCCTATGCAGAAGAAATTATTTAGCTGGTAGAAGGTACATCACTGGTCTTTAAACATTGTGTTGTTAACAAGACAGAAACCAAGACTGCCTATGACTTTCCATTTTAACATCACATTTTCAACAAGCTTTATAACCATGGGGAAACACTAACTTTGGAGACAGAAAAACACCACCAAAATCTTCCAGGATTTTTGGACAATAAAATTAAGAATAGGTCTTACATGTGTTCTACAACAGACTTGCTATCACAATTGAGGATTTTAAATAAGCTGGGAGGTGCCCAAGAGCCACTAATCCCAGTTTGCCCAACATCTGAAGTATTTTCTGACAGAGAAGCTCAACTAGTAATATTAATGTTTCAAATTCTCAGCATTTCAGTTGAGGGCTGTGGAGGAATATTTTTCTTCTACTGCTGTTTCTAACCAAAATGAACTATAGCATATGCCACAACATATAAATTATATATAAATTAGCAGCTCTGACTTTTCTCCAGTTTCTGTATTCCTGGTGGCACCTGGATGGTTGGAAGGTGATCAGTGTGTCTTCAACAGTGAGATAAGGAAATACATAATCAGGGAAAAAAAAGCTATCAAAACACGATTGTTTAAATTAAAAACCACCCAAGCAAACAAACAGAAAAAAAAAACCTATAAAAAAAAAAAACCATGAAAAAGAAGAATGAAAGAAATTTATTTTAATAACATTTTCTCAAAGGGGACTTGACTTTGTCATATTAAATGCTGTGTAGGGTTTTTTTGCATACTATTTGAATTTACACAGAACAATAAGGAAATAGTTATTGTGGCAAATTGATGCTATATTCCAAAGCAGTTTTGATATGAACTGAGGAATGGCAATAGGTAAATGGTTTCTGCTTGATATCACACGTGGTTCTTCATGGTGTTATAGTACAGAGCAACAACTATGCAACAAAAGTACTCTTCCTAGCAGATTTATTCTTATAGATACAATTAGGCAAAAAAAAGGCATTTTTAACATATTTTGTAATTTTGCATACCTGATTGTATGGTGATAGAACTTGAGTAAATTAGAAATCTTGTACAGTAAAACTGCTCCTGGCTCGGCAACAATCACCTGCTCAATTCTAACCTGTAGCATGAACAAATACAAACATCCTTCAGGTCATAAATTCCGAAACCCAGCCTTCTATGACTTCATATGCAATATATCTATGATTTCTGGAATATAAATTAAACCAAAAATATATTTTAAAAGAGAATGTGTAGTTAACTTTAATATTCGGCTTGAACTGAAGAGTTCCTGGGCTGCCAAGCATCTCGGAAGAAAGCATAAAGATGTATGCATTCTTAAAAAAAGAAAAACTACAAACCCAAAAAGCCTTCCAAAAATCCTACAGACTGCTGCAGTTACTGGAAATTTAAAAATAATGAGATAATTTGATGGATTAATACCAGTATTGAAATCTTCCCCAGCACTGAATAGCAAGAATAGCTGCAATGCTGCAGAATCCTAAGCTACAGCAGTACATTTCTAGCATCATGGAGAAATTCAGAACATCAAAGTATTAGGTATTCTGCCTAAGAACCAAATTTCACCTGGATGAATAAATTCTTCCCTTAAGGGAGAGTGTTTATATCTCCTGCCAGTACTTAGATGCATTTGTAACTAATAACCAGCTTTGTTGACTGTTTATCTCAACCAGAAGATCCTGGCTACACAACAAAATGGTGCTGGTTGTCTTTACAGTTGGACAGCTGATGTCTTGTCTCCATGATACACACACTCCCAATCCACTCATAAAAAGCTGCTGCAGGGTCAATCTTCGTGCACTTATGAAGCAGAATAGACAGTGACTTATCACTGCACTGCTCTCCCCGTGCCTGAGTGTGAAAGGGCCACACACAGATCAGCAGCCACCATCCACTCTCCCAAGTTATTTGCTATTCAGTGGAACACGATGAGCTGCAATCTTTTCTTCTCAGAGCCAGCTGCAGGAAGAACCAACTAAGATTATGTTTCCTCAATCCTTTCAGTTTGCATCTATTTCACTGACCAAAAACAAATAATACTTTTTAACTCTTATTCACAATACTTAATGCACAAAGTTTATTTCAACACGCAGGTGAACTTTGCTCTTCAATGTGTTTATATATAGAAAGGTCTATATACAAATATATGTCTCCAATGTTACCTAAAAGTCCTGTGGGCATAAATACAAATATATATTCTAGTTGTACAGTAAAAGAGAATAGGGCAGGCAGGGAAAACAGAATATTGACAGGGAATTGAAAACAGAATATTGTTAGGGAATAACTAAAAGTAAAGAAAATAATTAAAAACTGAAAAAGAACAGACAGAAGAGGAAAAACTTGAGTTTGATTTTACACTTAATTTGTTGGAATTCACAGAAATACTGAACTCAAACATCAGCATTCAATATTATAAGAACAGATTCAAGAGCACAGAAAGTTTGGAAATAACTACCAAAAACACAAAGCTGTGGCGATTGTGTGTCTCTTAGGACAAGTGTCTTCCAACAGATCAAAAACTAAAAGGTTGTGCAGGATGATCATAATTCTGTGGCAATAGGCACAAAACTGAAATACAAGAGACTCTGTCTGAACATCAGGGAATATTGTTTTTTATTGTGCAGGTGGCTGAGCACTGGAATATGTTGCTCAGTGAGGCTGTGGAGATTCCATCCTTGGAAGTATTTAAAAGTCACCTGGACAGAGTCCTGGGCAACCAGCTCTAGGTGGCCTCAGCCTGAGCTGAGAGATGGTCCTGGACCAAGTGACATCCAGATGTCCTTGCCAACCTCAATTCTTCTTTAATTCTGTGACTTTCTAAATGCCATCTTTCTGAATTTTACCTCTTTCAAGACCTTATCCTTTTCTTATCAGAAACTTAGGTTTAGTATCCAGAAACTAGCTGTTCACATTTGAGACTGAGTGTTTGTCAACTGGATACGGTTGTTATAGATACAGAATCCTAAGAGAAATTTATTATAATAGTATTTAGGCACCGTAGATTTTACTTTAAAAACACCTGGATTTAAACACTGCACAGTCAGGCAATAATTGGTATCAGCTTCATCACCTTGATTACTTCAGTGCTTATGTGAAGCACATGCAATAGATAAGTCAGTCAATCATCTGATGGATCATCACTAATAACTTCTATCAAATGCATCCCCTAAACTTACTAAGGCTGTAGCTTGAAAAAAAGACAAATATAGAAAGATGTGACAAATATGAAAAATTGAGGTAGCATAAAGATGGTAATTAGGAAACAATTTTTCACAGTGTCTTTAAAATACAAGAGCTGGAGTTATTAAAAAAAACAAACCCCAAAAACCAAAACAGAAAACCCCAAAAACCACAAAAGAAACTGGCTTTTCACATAACAGAGTTGAATGTTTACTTCGCTCCTGAAAGATATATTGTGAGTATCAACATTTTATATCAGCTTGACATGTTCATGCAAGAAAACATCCATTGAGATCTATTCTATACAAAGAAGTTATGGCTCAGTATGTCCTTAGCAGATTCACAAACAGGCAAGGGAACTATCCTATAGAAGCATGGCATAACTGCATAACCTGTACACTCTTCCCTGAGCATAATGATCACTATGAAAAACAGGTTAATAAATTACACTGATTTTTCATTTGACCCACTACAGCTATTCCCATACACTTACCACAAAGCTGGATTTTTGTAAATCATCACTCCTCAACACAGGAAAAGTAAACCAAAATCAAGACCCAAATTTAGCATCCTAGTATCTCTCACTATATCTCTCAATATATGACTATTATCAACCACACATCTATGAACAAAGCAATCTTTAACTTTAGAAAAAAACCTTCAGAAGTTGACAATCTAATTCTTAACCAAGGGCTAATATCATATATCATATCATATATATAAAATATACTGATATATATAAAATACACTGAAGAGGTGGGAGTACAAGTTCTGAAAAATCATAACAGAATAGTTTTTGTATTTAGAGTGCTAAGGAAAACAAAAAACTTCACCTTCAGAGGCCTGCAGACACCTTCTGTTATGTGCCCAACCACTTCTTGAATATTTTCTTCCACACCTATAGTTAATGCAAACACATGCTAAGATTATGCAAATGTATTCTCTTTTCTTCAAGCCTATAAAACAAATAAACAAATGTAGGAGGTACTCCCCCATAAAAAAGCATTATGAACTGCGTGTTCTTTTCTCCACATGACTAGTTCACACCTCCACTGTACTTCAAATCTAGCCATTAAGAAATAGCTGCATGGCAAACAGTCCTGGAGTCATTACCTTTTGCTATGCAATTGCTTCCTAGTGCAACACAGCGCGTGGGAATTTGAGGTAGAAGCAGCAAGGGGAAGAATGATTTAGCAAGAAACTGTCTCAGTAAGGCTCAATATTAGCACTTCATGAAATTAAACTACAAAAACACCGAAAAGACACCCAGGCCAGTGAGACACTCAAGGAGCAGCAGTACACCCCATTTTGAAAGGCCTGACTGGCAAAACCACGTGTCTGTCAGCGCTGGTTACTGACGAGCTCATGGCATTGTTACAAATGAAGTGACATGTGTACCTCCACACTAATGCGTGCTGCAGCGCTGGCAAACGCTTCCTCCCCAGCAGCAATTGAAACTCATCTTCCACAAAACGATGTACAAAAGAGAATATTGCCCTATCTTATCACGAAACACAAATGAATTGTTGCATGGCAACCAGTGCTGTCATAAATCAATCAAACTGAAAGCAACAGATCTTCAAGCTCTCACTTCAGTAACAACTCAGAACAGATTTATGGAGAAAGCAATACTTTAATTCTAATTTAAAACTTGTCAACAGGAGTTCATCTTCAGATGGGACCCATGAAATGAAAGTAAACAAACTGCCTGTGACATGTGACAGAAATCAGGTGACCTGAAGCTATATTTTGCTTCTTTCAGACTAAGACAGATTACCTCAGAGTGTAAAAATAATGAAAGATCAGAGATCTGTGCCAATGCCTCTTTACACCAAGTTAATTGAAAAGCCATATAAGCAGTAACAACTGAATTCTGTGCGGTGGCTGTAAGAATTTCAACATACTGAATTGGTAAGGTAATAAAAATATGGTTATATACTTGAGTATTGATATCAAGGCAAAAAGCAAGATTACAAACCACAGCATGCATAGCTCTTTTACGTAACGGCTAGCTCCCAGATAGACCTTAGCAATTTACACATTTTTTAGTAGAAACAGTTACGCTTGTACTGTTCATCAATGTAACAAGTACCTAGCACATATTTGCAATAGTGCATCTAGACCAGATTGACTTAAAAACAAGTTGTTTGGTATGAAAACTTTAGCTCAAAAAATATACAAGTTCCAATACCAAAGGACACGGAATAAAAATTTTGAGATACCACATGCTTGTGCCTTCGCATATATTTTCATGTCCAATCAGAATATCTGGATTCCAAAAGCAGTGAAATCTTTCAGCAGAATCCATTATATAAGTGGTGCAAGTTTGACATAAGAGAGTTACAGAATAAACAATTCTCAGAGGTCCAAAATAACTTCAAGAATACAGCTCATAACTGAAGATACGCTTCCAACTCCTTGCTACACCATATATATTTTTTTTTTCTGTGTATCCCTCTATAAAAGGAGAGCTCTTTTTTGGACTTTGTTTAGCTTCTGTTCTCCATCTGGGTTCTTGTAACTGCACAAAAAATGGGCTTCTATTGCATCTCTTAAAATGCCTGCAATTCTCCATTCCTTACAAGTAGAAGATTTCTGTATGACTGGGAGGTTCCTGCTAGCAGAATACCTAAACTCTGAAGAGGAAAACCAGACGCTTTATGCTTTTCCAGTAAAAGAGTTAAAACTTTTCTGAACATGTTTTCAGCACTTAAAATTTTAATAGCATTTTTAGTCAGATTAATTTGAAACACTTAATTTTTGCAAGATTAACATTTTAAAACTTTTTAAAAGCCTTCCTCGCACGCTCTGCTTATGGGCTACATAGCTCGGTCACTTTAAAGTAAAAACTGGGGTGGAAACCTTTCCCTAAACAAGTGTCACACATAAAATTTTTCATCCAGTGGGACCAAATCCACCTGTATCACACCAACAGGTATACATGTGGCTTTTTTTTGCTGTTTCTTGAGAAGGGAAATTTTTTATAGTTATGATTTACCACACTCTCCATAGTCCTGAAATTACACAGAGCTTATAGGAAAATTTAAACAGAAATCTGAACTCAGTACAGACACACCTGAACAAAAATAAGAGAAGTGGTTCCATCTGCAAAAATCTACTGAATCTGAAATTGAAGTGAAAACATCTGACTGAACTAACTTCAGACCTCCAGGTAGGTGTTTTATCTATGGCAGCTGCTTGGGCTCCCTCTATAGGGGAATGAAAAAAAAAAAAATCCCAGTTTGTGATGAAAGTCTCCAGAAAATCTTACATTAGATCTCAATTTTTTTTAGGAAGAACTGCACTCTGAAGATGCAAATCTCTGTCTTTATCTCTAATTGCCAATAAAGATGTCCACTTGTTAAATGGCTACACGAAATTAACTTATTTTTTACTGTAGTCTGCACAGCCAGACACCTAAAGACTGCACAACAGCACAGAAAATTCAGCTTGAGCTTTTCAGTACCAGATCCTTTTCCTCACTACCAACTCAGGACTGTATTTATAAACAACATACAATCTCAGGGTACCTTGGGGTTGTGCTGCCCATAACTGTTTCTCGTTAAATCCAGTGGTATCCTATTAAGTACTGTTTTGTCTTACAGACCTTATCACATCACTATCCTTGTCATCAAAAAAATTTCCCCAGAGAGACAGAGGAATAGCTACAGACAGCACATCCCAAGCTCCCAGTTTGTTGCTCCCAGTATGAAAGTAAGAACTCCTTTTTACATTTCTTGAAAACTGTACAACAGTGATAGCAGACCTACTCCTGGAGAGCTTAGGAAAACACTTTTTTTCCTTCAGTAATCTCTTGTTTATACCAGTATCTCCAGAAAAAGGTTTTGGCCTGGTGATTTTTTGTTGAGAATTTCTCCTCCAAATGTTTATATTCTCCATATTATCAAGTATCTTGTCCTGTGGCTGAAATGCTCCAAATATATCTCATTTCATGGTCATATCATCTCAGCCCAACACCCTGTCCGAAGGCCAAAGAACTTCAGAGTTAAGCAAAGCACTAGACAAAGAAGTGGGAGAATTTCAGAACAAAGGGCAGCAGCAGAAGTGCAGCCCACAGGAGAACCAGACACATTTACATACTCTATGGGTCCAGCTTTTTCTGAAGGGCTCCCCAGTTACAGCAAAAGCATCAATCAGTCATCTACTAAGAACTGCCATGCCTTTCCCTCTATTATAAAACCATCATGAGGCCTGCTTTCCTGTCTCCCTGAAATACTGTCAGCAAACAGTATTAAATGCACTTTTATAGTACATTAAATGTAGTTAAAAAATAGCATTCCTCTAGTTTGATTCACAACAGGTCCTAAACAGCCTCATTTCCCATATACCATAAATTAGAAAAGCCAATTAATACTTACAGCAGTAACGAAAAGCAGAGTACATATTCACTTTAAAACCCAGAGTAAGATTGAGATGCAACCTGAAGAGCTCACCAGATACAGATCAAGTGTAAGCTCTCACAGAGAGTTTGTTACAATTGAGTACACATGCTTAATTTCTAAAATATATCTTTCTCTGAAACTATAGTGGCAAATCATACTCTTCTACAGGATAAAAGTCTTTAAAGTATAGGTTCAATCTACTGAAAAGAAAGCAAAGGGGCTGAAGACTGAGCATGAGCATCTGCAGCTCTGAAATGAAGGACAGTTTTGATATTAAAAAGCTTCACCTATCTGCGAGTAGCCTACTTCAACCTCCATAAACCTGAAATGATGTTAAATGACAGATGAAAATTCCATTTTCCTTCTAGCACAGAATGAAGAGACTTAAAGAAACAAATAATTATATTTTTTAAAAAATTACTAAACAAAAGAGCAAAAGCATAATAAAAATCCTCAATATAATATGCAATGTTTTCAAGGAGATATGTATTCATATATATTACAATTTCTGAACTCTCAACTATGCTCTAAAATGTCTCTTTCTAAATTTAATGTAAACCTGTTGTAAGTACAGTAAAATAAATTGAGTGCATTTTAAAATACTCTTCTTTTGTTATGGGCCTTCTTTTGGCAGAATGCAACCACCAGCTATTCTGATATTATTTTTAGGAAAATTTAAACTCAGACTTGTAACTGAAACCCAACCTAAGAAATTAATTATACTTTTTTACTTATCACAGACTTATTATCACTTCACAATTTATGTTTTAAAACCACTACTACCTTGAATAGTCACAAGCTTTAACATAGCTTCTAAGTGTTCTTTTTCAGAAGCTGTAGCTTGATGCAACCAGGCCAGCATGTCTCCTACATACCTAAACAAAGACAGAAATTTTGGTGTAAATTAGTGGTTTATGGTGTCAGGAATTCAAAATGCCAACAACAACAACAAAAAAATTATTTTATATACATTCTTGTTAGTACTGTACCTCAGAGGATCATGAGAGTGCATTTCAATAGGGCGGGGAGTACCTCCCAGACCTCCTCTAGTAAGAGCATCTATAAAGCCACGGACCACAGCACTCCTTCTAGCTGTTCCAAACTCATCCAGTGTGTATCTGTTATTGAAACATGAAAACAGGTTAAGAAAATCCAGTTTGTCTCATCACAGTTGATTAGTTCAGCCTCACAGCTAATACAAGCAAACATTTTTATAGTTCCAGAAAGCTTGCAACAATGTGTTTATTATAAAACATTCAAAACCATCTGATGATGTCAGAATTTCTATCATCCTGCTCTGCCTATAGTGCATCTGACAAACAGGAGAAAAGAAGACAAATTTCATGTTATCACCTGTCTACTCTAGAGCAAATGTGTAGGATAAGACAAGACTTTGGATATTGCAGACAAGTGCTACAACATATAGTCTTATATATATACACACACAGACACCGTCCTTTTCTTCTTTCTTGGTTGGGTACTCTTAGCTTCCAGACTAAGACTGTCAGATTATTTTTTATAGGGGTTTTCTACTTAATTTGAACAGTTTTTCTAATGTGCCTCCTCTGATACCATTGCAAAATAGAAGAAAGAAGTACTTGGCACTCCTGTGTTTCCTACACAGGAGCACTGGCAAAGGCTGTAGTCTTGCCAGGATCAGGTTACTATTACTGAAAAAAGAAAAGGGGCTGAGGGAAGAAAATGAAGTGACTGCTTCTGCAGTGTCCTGGGGTGCATCAGGCACAGCATGGCCAGCTGGGCAAGGAAGGGGATTGTCCCACTGTGCTCTGAGCTGGGGTGGTCCCACCTCGAGTCTTGTGTGTGGTTTTGGATGCCACAATATAAACAAGACATTGAGAGAGTGTTCAAAAGAGGACCACAAGGATGGTGAAGGGCCTTAAGGGGAAGCTGTATGAGGAGTGGCTGAGGTCACTCGGTCTGTTCAGTCTGGAGGAGACTGAGGGGAGATCTCACTGCAGTTACAACTTCCTCAGGAGGGGAAGGGGAGGGCAGGCACTGATCTCTTCTCTGTGGTGACCTGTGAGAGGGCCCAAGGGAGAGGCCTGAAGTTGTCAGGAGAGGTTTAGGTTGGAGATTAAAAAAAAAGTTCTTCACCCAGAGTGTGGCTGGGCACTGGAAGGGGTTCCCCAGGGAACTGATCACAGCACCAGCCTGACAGAGCCCAGGAATTGTTTGGACAATGCTCTCAGACACACAGTGTGACTCTTGAGGATGGTGCTTTGCAAGACCAGGAGCTGGACTTCATGATCCTTGTGGGTCTCCTACAACTCAGCATATTCTGTGCTTTTCTTGACCCCACTGAACAGATACTAAAGAGAACTTTTCCTTGACCCTCCCATTACCTTACCCCACAGAAACAAAAAAATGAAAACTGAGCTTTTCAATTTTTGTTCACATAAGCATCTTTGACAGGTTTGGGACTCCTGTTTGCATATGGTCCAGCTGACTGACAGAAGAAGGACTGACAGAAGACTGTCAGCACTGCAACACAAGGCTTCTTCCTTCTAGGCTACTACACAACTACTAGTAGTAGGAACAGACATTCATTTGATAGTTGTTCACTGATTTTACTCAAAGCTAGCTAACCCAATCTAGCTAACGCAACCTTAGCTAGATATTTCATGGATGAACAATTACATCCCAGAATGCACTATCTCAAACGGCTTGCTGGTGGTAGAGGAGGTGCCAATAACTTACACATGGCTCATTTCTGGAGCAGGCTATCTTTCTGTTGGCATTGAAGCATGAAAGCAAGTGAAGGATGGGAAATGAAACACTGGTAATATCCCAGTTATATTTGCAAGCCACAGAACAAACTTATTTTTTAAAAAAAACAACCATTTTGAACAACCCACAAACTACAGGGGAGAGAATACAGATTACAGTTTATTTTTCCAATATAACTGAAAATTGTCAAAGAGTAAGCATGGTGTCACTTTGCCAATGACAGCCACCAGAAGAATATATGTGAAATAATATTAATAAAGACAATGTTCTTCACTGACTTACTTAAGTCTGCATTTAATAAGCACTGCATTCACATTTAATAGAGGCAGAGAACGAAATTTAAAAGAAAATAATATATGATTTAAAAAATGTTTGACATTAAGTTCAATTAGATTTCTACTCTGCTATAAAAAGTCAAAGGGAACTTTTAGTTTTGTTCTTTTCAATGCTAATTATTATTTGAAAGAGGTGGAGAAAGAGCGCACTGAAGAATCTGGAAATTTCTTTTGAAGCATTTTTCTTTATACACTGTATTTGTAAAGCTGAAGAGTAAATGTCTGCAATTGATAAAAGTATAACAAAAAATTCTAATAAATTATTTTTTACAAAAAATTGCAATTAAAAGTGGAAGAGATCTAGGATCTGCCAAGTGTCCACTGTCTAGAAGGAGCAGTATTGGAGTGAAAAATCTCAAGCGTCTATAGAAACCAGGAAGCTTTTTCTTTTCCTCTCCAATATACAGCTATACAATAGACCATTAAATATACAGCTGTAGAACAGTTCTTGTGATCGTTATTAGTTCTGAAAACAGCATTCAATACTGATAATTTTGTTTTATAAAGGAAACTACTAATTTTCCTTTTGCTCACAGTAGAGCAGGGTATAACCATTACAAAATCCTGCATGTTAAAAAATTCAGCAGTAACTATTATTTACACTAGAACACACTATTTACTACTATGTTATTACACATACTCATGTTTGGAGAAGAAAACAACATTTGGACTTTTTTCAACCCAGCTTTAATGTTTAAAATATACAGTAATGATCACTGGGGAAAGAGGAAGGAAAAAAACCTTTGTAAACCTGGGTGGATGATGGAACACTGCTTTCAGCTATGTCTCCATGCATTTTCTAGGAAACAGTGTCAATTTTTCTGTTAGAGCCAGGGAGTGAAAACCAATCTGAAATGTTTATTTTACGTTCCTACTGACTGCAGTTCCAAAAAGTCCATCCAAGGTGCAATCCTTCTGACACTTTTAGTTGACAAGATGTAAGTCAATGTAAGGAAATAAGAATTTGTAGATTTGTTTCTAAACTCCTGCCCTCTCCATCTTACTCGCTTTTACCCAATCGAATCACGATCTTTATCAGATGCAAGGATAGTGATTTGGAAGGAAAGTGTTTAGTTCACACAGCACTGCTAATACACAAAAAACAATTCAAAATTATTTTCTTCTTAACTTCTACATTATGAACTTAGCAATTTGTTACTTAAAGATATACAAAAAAATTTGGAAGGGAATAAACTAAATCTTGAGATTTAAAATGTAAAGCCTCAGTACTGCAATTTTGATAATATGCTGTAGTAAGTAATTAAGCTTGATAATCTATGATGGGAGACATGTGGCTGCATCATCTACACGAATGTTTATTTTTGCCCTTTTGGCAGAGGAAAGGTCTTACCTTTCAAGTCCTATCTTTGCTAATACTATTGCTATTCTTTGTGACACAAGTATCAGAGAAAAAAAAAATCATGTTTGCAGATTCATTTTAAACTGGCCAGCAGTGGATTTATACAGAAGATGGGGCTTTCTTTCCTTGAACCAAGAAACTAAAACAATGATTTTATGAAGCTACAAAGTATCATCATTCAACAAAGTATTTATTACAGAAAATAAAACTGTATCTAAAAAGAATCCTATAAAATGTTGTTGCCAGTGTAGTGACTGATCTTTTGCAGCTGTTAAAGTAGGTGAGGTGAGAAT